TTTCCCCGGCAGACTTCTGCCATTCCAAGAGGGTTACAATCACCTCCAATCTTCCATATGCACCTAAGGAATGTTCATATGTGTATTTGCTTCCGAAACCTCCTTCGGGAAGGTTGGAGCTTCCGTAACGTCCCTGTTCCAAGTAGAACGGGTACGTTTTCCCAGTGTTATCCAGTCTTACTTATTGGGTAGTGCCATAGCAGCAGTAGCTGGTCCTCTTGTGCAAGCCCTGGCCTACGCCAAAAAGTAGGGGCGCAGGTGGCTTCCACAGGACACTGGAAGGGGCAGTAGCTGTGGCCCTTTGGTAGGATCCCAATTTCGTCGGTCATCCGACGTGACGTCGAGAGTGACCGACTGAAAGGGAACGTCTCGGTTACGTATGTAACCCTCGTTCCCTGAAGGAGGGAACGGAGACGTCACGTCCCGTCGCCACAGCTCCTGTACCACCGCTGAGCGGCCGGGTCACCGGCTCGGCTCCTCAGCGAAAACCTGAATATGCGCTGCATCTGCTGCCTACTTATACTCACGCTGTGATCAGCAGCAGCTGGATGCAATAATCGCATGCCAATGTGCATTGGCTCGTTTAGTTTACACTCGAAGTAGATTGGTCTCTCTAAGCGAGATCCCAATTTCGTCGGTCATCCGACGTGACGTCTCCGTTCCCTCCTTCAGGGAACGAGGGTTACCATACGTAACCGAGACGTTCATAACTTTACAGTAGTTTTAGGGTTTATGGCTTTACATTGTTGGCCAACTTCACACAGAAAAGGATCCCCTGTACACACACTAAAATTATGTTAACACATATTGTTCTGTTGCTGTATTTTTGAAATTGGGTATTTTAATGTTTACGTATTGGCACCATTCACTTCCATTGTAAGTTTCTTTCTGTAAGACAGATTTGTGTTGTCAAGAATAAGTGGAAATTCATTTTTGTGGCAGCGTTATGCCACGAATGCTGTGGATTGAGCTAGTACCGAAACCTGAATATTCCTTAAACATGATAAAGTAGAGCAGACAGAACAATGTACATTTCGTAATGGCTGGAGAGCTGCATTCTTAGCCAGCTGAGAGCACTGATTGGTTGGGCCTTTTAACTGATATATCTGAGAACTTAGCACACACTGGGATAAAGCCCAAACCCCCGGTGTTCTGGATGATGAAGGGCTTTTCAATCTTCTCATCGAATCTCTATCTGACCCTGTTCAATACCTCTCGAGAAGGAGAAAGAGAGGTCTTGAAACATGCGGCATCATGCCATCATTAGCCGTGGATGAAGCTGTTCGGTGTGAGTAGTAGTTTAAATGGAATTATAAGTGATCAGAGAAATTACCTCAGGGACTGAAGGCTCTCATGGCTTCCATCAGCTCTGTCTGAACCCTCCAGCTATACCGTACAAACACAAGCGAGGAGCCTTAAAAAAGAATTATTCATACAAAGTCTTTAGATATTCACAAATGCGGATACTTGAAAACGGTGATGTGCATTTGCGCTTGTTACGTTAATTAGCTCGGGATTACAATGCCCATCATTTTATCGTCTGTGAAAACGAATGTGACGTACTGTAGCTTTTTTTCTGTGCTGAAAGCTTAATTTCATGTCTACGTTTAACACGAGCCCAGTCAGGGACAGGGTTCAGTCTCACTGCAAGGAAAAAAATCTTTAAGAGGAAGAAAATTTATTCAAGAAATGAAATGTAGCGGATTTGAACGGAGCCGTTTTGCGAGGGCACCGTAAAGGATTAGCCCTATTCTTCTCAGAAGGTCGCTGACAGCTATTGCGCAAAAGTACTTGGTTATTTTCTATTACAGCTCGGACCGAGAAAAAATTCAATCGTCGTGGAGGTGTCCCAGTGTGAAAAGAAGGTCTGCGTGGCACTGCTGAATAGGGCTCTCACTCTCTCCATCTTCCCTCAGGCAGTCTCTCTCTTTAGTTCTCCTATTAGCTTCTTCTGCACTTCTCCCTTGCATCTGCTTGTTTTATCCGACACTAATGCCAGATGCCTTGTCGTAGTCCGTATTATTATCCCAAGGCCTGTATGAACCTTCAATATGATTCCTATAAGGCCCTGCGCATGCCTCTGGGACTGCTGCTCGATTCCTCCATCTACTATTTACTTGATTAAATGGGATTTTTCTTTATCAACTCTAATCAATCTTGGTGAGTAGACGAAGAGAGAATGAAAGTAAAGCCAGCAGAGAGCGAAAAAGAGGAATCGAGAGCGAGGGCAGGAGGAAGCGTAGCCTTTGCGTTCCCCAATCTGATTTGATGGGATTTACTATCAATGTTTACTCATCTGTTGTGCTCTGAGCTATAACTCAAACAACAGGACACATATACAAAGAGAGCGAGCGAGAGGGTGCAAAGGGTGTGAACATAAATTCCACTGAATGAAACTTGTTAACATGCCCTCACTTCAAAATCACACTCATTCGCTTTGACAGTTTATGTGGCAAACCATTCAACTGACATCTGTCACTGCCCAATGGGAATCAGACTGATGAATGATATGTGGGTATGTGCAACCTGACAACTAGAACACTGGTCCCCTTGCTCTCTCGCAAAAATCATTGTGGTGATTGAGTAGGTTGCACCAGCCCCTATAAATGGCCTAAATAGGTAGTTCACCCAATTTCTGTTCAATGGGGTCCAAATCAATGTTGGACCCACTGACTTTCATTTTATAGAGACAGTTTCCGAAATATCTTCTTTCTAATTTGGGATGTAAAGATTTGTCACTATTTCTGTTTCATTGCAACAAAAACTGAAAATACTATCATCATTTGTACTTGTTCTGTGGAACATAAAAATATATTTTGAGAAATGTTTTTGTCTGTACAGTGGAAGTCCAAAACTGTTCAGTTTCCAAACATTTTTCAGAATATCTTTTATTCCACAGAAGAAACTAAGGTAAAATAAGGTACATAATTATAAAATTATTTGTACACTTAAATGTTTAAATGAATATTGACAAACAGTATTTAAATTGGTAAAAACTATTACAGCAAACAGGAATTTTATATATTTACTCATATTACGGTTCTTTCTGATCCTCGAATCTGATTGGCTGAGAGGAGTGTGATATTCTAGTGATAACAGAACTCCAACTGTTTCACTGTTTATATCACTCCGCTTTCCATATTTCTCACAGCGAGTGTCATGGCGGTCACCCAATTCCACAACAATTTTATAAATAATACTGTTTTTGTGTCTTCAAATATGCGGTTTGTTAATAAAGATAATGTCTATTTGAAAATTTGCTAAGATGTTTTTGGAGATGTGAGCTCCAGGGCTTCAGCGGCCATTCAGCGCTCATGAACCCACCGAGAGCAGCCTCACCTCGGCCAGATCTTCTGGAATTTGCCGCTGGCTCTGATGTCTCTATAGTGGTTAAACACGAGATATAATTTGTTTTGGGTAAATCTAACTGGCAGTCTTTGGTCTCATTAATCTATTATTTGTTCCAGTGCAAGTTTTGGCTGAGGGCAATATTGCTCATATATATGTGCTTCTGTAATTATTTAGATAGGGTTAGGTTGCAACTAAGTTTACTGTTGCAAAGCTCAAATATTTCTTAGTGTATTAAGTTGTATTCTAGTGCTCATTTATCCTATAACTTAACACTGGCCTCTGTTCTATTGAGGACCTAATAATAAAAACTGATAAGTATGAAATGGATATGAATGGACTTGCATTGAATGACTAAGTGTTTTGACTGTTATATCCAATACGTACTCCTGCACAGACATGATGCTGGGAGGAGATGAGGAAACAGATCAGTAGTTTATGCTTTAAAACACAGGATCCCAAACCTGTTCCTGGAGGGCCCCCAACAGTACTCACTTTGGATGTCTCCCAAATCAAACACACCTGATTAAACTCGTCAGCTCATTAGTAGAGTACTCCATGATTTTAAATGGATATGTTATGAGGGAGATGCCCAAAATGTGTAGCCTTGGGGGGCCTCCAGGAACAGGGTTGGAAAGGACTGCGCTTTAAATGGCTGAATGATATTTCATCAATAGCGCTGCGTCACGCTGGGATTCAGTAAGGAGTGACCTTCTGCAAAAAAACATTTGACCATTTATCATCTGAGCTCACTAAATGAAACACACAGAGTGTCAGTATTAATCACGGGCTATTGAGTTATTGGTTTATTAATCGATTGACGAGTCACCACATCTACAGGACCACAGATGTAAAAAAGAGAGCTCACACGGCAGAAAAAAATATTTTATTAAGCTCTTAAAAAAAAAAAAAGGAAACAAAATAAAATCACTTAAATGAATAAATGAATAAGGCACGTTGATGCTCCATTGATAGCCCTACTGCAGCTCAAGCTACTTACTCCATCCACCGATCATTTTCCCGGCATGAGCAACGCTAACTCACTCCAGGACACGCGCTGGCGCGCATGCACGCACACGGTCGGTGCATATTTTTCCCCGTGTCTTTGCTGTATGATACACGCGTGTCTAGTGACACGGACGGACGGCCCGACGGACGCACACCTCTCCGTTTTGCTCGGAGAAGCAGAACTGGCGATACGGCACCATTGATTCGCAGCACGGGATGATGGGAGGGGAGAGAGACGCGGAAGGGGCTGCGGGGGGCATGCAACAGAGGACTGAGTGGCGCTAGTAAATATTTATATTGCATGATGATATGCGTGAGCAAAAGGAGGAGGTGTGTGCTTGCGAGTGTGTGTGTGTATGGGGAGGAAGAGGGCTGAGAGGAAGAGACCTCGAGCCACCCAGTTATTAATATTATTCCACACCGCTAAGTTTAGCATTCAACACGTGTCGCCAGTGATGGAGAGAGAGAGAGAAGCGTCCGGCGCGCGCGAGAGAGAGGGAGGTTGAGGGTTGACGGTTGCTAGGTGACGAGGCGCATATACTGAATTTTAATAAAAGAGCGGAGGGAGAGAGAACGGAAGGAGCGGGAGATCGGTGGAGAGAGAGAGCTCGCGAAAATTGAATACATGTAGGATATATATTTTAGGTGTATTTTCCCCGGAGAAGCCGCAAAAAGGATACATCGAGGGGAATGATGTGAAGAGAATGGAGGGCCAAAAGGAGAGAGGGGGGACAGGCGCGTGAAAAACACAGTAAGTAACAGTTTAATGAATACTGCTGTGTTTCTGCACGGACTTGACTGCGTGGAGCGAGGAGACATGGCACTGACAGTGCACTGCCGGCTCCGGGTGAGGGGACTTTGATGCGCTATATGTGGGAAAAGATGGATGGCACGCGATAGAGAGATGAATACGGCCGGCGCGCGCGGGGGTTTGACCCTTCTGTCATTGCTGCACGCGTGCACATATGCCAGTGCTTATAAGGCCACTTGTTCCTCAGTGAAACGGCACATACTTCGACTTTTCTTGCACTCTCACTGCACAGGTACGCGCAGGGGTTACAGCAACACGCGAAGACGCACGCGCCTGGAAACGGCACTGAGACGCGCAGTCTGTGGGCACAATTAGTGATTTTCATAAAAACAACAACTGTGAAGCGACTGAATATTGAAACACGTTTAAAATGCTGCTTCGGTGCAGCTAATGATCGCGTCGCTGTGCTGCGCTGTCAGGCTGCTCGTCAGTTGTGTATGTAAACTGCGGATTTATCAATTTTCCTGAGCACAATTATCAGTGTCTCGTAGTGTATGCGTGTTTGATACTCTCGTTGTTTCAGTGCCATGCGAGCTTATTCAAATAGCATAGCGTGTTAATTTTCGAGTAGGCCTATTTATTTTATTTATTTTATATATTTATAAACATTTAAATGAGACGAAGGAGACTTGAAATATCTCGATACACCAATTGCTGTCATTTCTCCAAGTCTGGCCATTTTCTTTTTAATAGTTGGGTAAGAAATCAGTGAGATTTATGAGCAGCGCTCATTATGTTAATTTCATATGAGCCCGTCATGGGCCCACAATTTTCCTCCTGCGATATGAATCAAACCGTTGGCGTTTAGATGAAGTAAAATCATTTATGTGGGGCTTCTGCTTCATATTCCGTAATAAGTTTTACTCCCTCTTTGCGCCGAACTTATTAAAGCTGTTATGATGGAGCCTGGAGTCCTGCAGAGGGAATGTGAAGTCTTAATGTCCACCAAGACAGGCCTTAGATCAGTGCTGGCATACATCATACATTTTAGTTCATTTATATGTGTTAGTGCACTAACGGCATGTTGTGACCTTTCATAAGCTTCACGCTGTACTGATTTGCCGTCTTGAGACGATTTTCAGATCTTGTGAGATAGATACACATCCGGTCCTGCAGGTAAAAAGAGAGAGGTGTGAAAAGATAATGACCTCCAAAAAAGTACATTTATTGAACAAGGCATGTTGTGGATACTGGGCACGCAAATCACCAAGGACTGCACACACACACACACACACACACAATGCAGTACTGTAATGCGCACAGTAATGTTAACGTGTCAATATAGCTTAACTCCAGCAGTTGGTCTTACAGCTGCTTTCCAGGGTTTACTGTAGAAGGAGGGGGAGTGCACTTATAAAGAAGGAAGGAGAGTGAAAGAATGAAAGAGTAGCCAGAATGAAAGCAGGTGAAAAACTATAATGCACTGAAGATGAGGATGTAGCAGAGGGGTGGATACAGATGAAGCTGGATGGGGAGGAGAAGACTCAGACATAGAAATGCAGTGAAGGATGGTGAAAAGAGAAATACAGTGCAAACAGAACGAGGGAGCAAGAGGAGGAAATGAAGGAGAGGAAGAAAGCGAAAAAAGAGGAATTAAATATCTGAGACTGAACATGGTTGGAGGGCTCAGACAGAGAGATGAGAGCAGCTTGAATCAACGTTTGCATTACTCTTTTCCTCTTTCTCTTTTTCCTCTTTGCGCATTGATTCTTTATCTTCTCCTTTACCTTTGCTCTCTATCCTTTCTATCGTTCCCTCCCTTGGGCTTTCAGACTCTAGAGTATTGCTGCTTTTTTAACATCTCTTTTTTTGCTGAATCCCTCTCTTCAGCATTTCTGTATCAGCCTCTTCATCTGATTACTTCCCTCTCTCTTATTTTTTATTCACATAGCTGTGTTGATGAGTCCAGCGTGCCCAAAACTGCATCCAACTCCCCTCTCAGTATCCCCCATTCACTTAAATGTGACTTTGTTTACAGAACATATAACGCAGATAAAATGCTTGTAAATAGTGCAATTACTTAGTTTGTCCAGCAGAGCGCATTGCTACTGGCGACCCAGGTCACTGACACCAGCCAACCCTTTCACTTCACTAAGGAGGTCTCTTCACGACTCAGTCAAGCGTTGTCTTAACAGTAAGTTGCTAACTAGTTTGTGAAATATATAACACTGTAAAGTTAATAAACAATGACCCCATATGTTTCCCTTTCAATATTTTTTTTATTGGTCTTATGGAGTATTCTAATTTGTTGAGATAGTGAGTTGGTGGGTTTTTGTTAAATGTGAGCCAAAATCATCACAATTAAAAGAACCAAAGACTTAAACTACTTCAGTCTGTGTGCATTGAATTTATTTAATACACGAGTTTCACAATTTGAGTTGAATTACTGAAATAAATGAACTTTTCCACGACATTCTAATTTATTGAGATGCACCTGTAAATCCAATATAACCTTAACCCCGTCCCTTAAAACTGCCATGCCACTCATGCTTATCACATCGGTCACATCACATTTCCTAAGTCAGCATAGTTTGTTGCAGATTGTTAAATTGTTAAATACCCTGCCTCCATTACATGTCTTTGCCACGCCATTATAAGTGTTTGATCACCACATTTGAGTGATCATTGCAAAATATGTTTATCTATATATATTCTGTTTACACGAATGGGAAGTGTGTCCAAACTTTTGACTGGTACTGTACTATAATATACACATAAAGAATATCGGCCGATATATCGATATCAGACTTTTTACTCCATAATATCGGTATTGCCGATATTAGTTTCTAGAACAGTGTTTCTTGCATGTGATGCAGCAAAAGACGAGAAACGTGAGTGCAATGGTCACATATATCCATCTAGTGCATGTTTACATAGAAAAACAATGAACAAGCAGCTCAGTAGTACGCAAAAACGTGTTTTGTGTGAACATCACCTTATTGTTACACAGCTGAGGTCGAGTGGTAGTAAAGGAGCAATGGAAAGAGGAGGAGGAGGAGGAGGGGAATAAAAGGAAGAGAGTGTTTCTATGATCCATTGTGGCAATAAATAAGTTCTAAAAACAGAAACGTTAGTGTTTTTTTAACAAGAAGCCGGAAATATTAGCATATTAAGAGGAAACATTAACACAGAAAGTGTAGCAGTCACTGGCATCCTGTTCTAATCAGCCATGAGTTTCCACAGGAAGCCGAGTCCTCCTTTTCAGTCATCTCCACGGTTACCGTAACCACGGATATTTTAGTCTAACTACAACTGCGGTCCTGTACAGTTACCACGGAAATCCCTGCAAGACTTCCCTCGCTTCCATACACAATTCACCTGACAGCTTAACGTGAGCTTGCCGACACTATGCAGGCTCGCAACGACTCTTGATTCATTCGTTTCCGATATCCAATCAAAGACAAGTCCATAAAACGCTATTGACAGATGTGAACTAACAATGGCTGAAGATCAAGCCAGTGAGGCCATGTTTTCCCTTGGGGAGGTCTCTAGTGATAAGACATGTTTTGTGATGCTGTTTCTGTGAAGTGGAGAGGTGCAGAGATGTGTACAGCAACTGTTGGATGAAACAAGATGAGGGGGGCAGTGAAATGACTAATGAATAATGATGAATAATGGTAGTCCAGAGTGAGGAGACATTTTGGGCTGTATGTATTCAAGGTGCTGATTGATCATACTGACAGACTTCTGTCCAGTATGGTAATAGACAAAAAGGAGAAAAATAAAGAGGGCATGCTTTTACCCCGACACAGGTCTAGTATAGATGGATTACTTTTGTTTAGATCAAAGCAAGAACAGAAATGATTCTTTGATAACTTTTAGTTTCACAGATGTTTTTGATATGCAGTACATACTAGTTTCTCAATATTCCTAATAGAGTGTACAGACCACTTTTTCACCAGAAGTATTTTTTCCTTAGGGATTTTTAAAAGTCTTCCTTAAAGAGTGATAAGCCATGAACCAAACCGGCCAGGTGATTCACAGCATTACAAACTTTGATTTGAAGCAAAAAAAAAGTATTTGAAAATTGGACAAAAAGACAAAGGTACAATTCTGTAGTGAATGAATATGTAGCATTGTGACAATCGAATTTTAAGATGAATTTTAAGAAATTTAAAGATGTTGATTAAATATTTGGAAGCAATATATTTGGTTTATTGCAAAAATAAGCTTATGGAAATATTTAAGTTTGAGAGCGTAGGGAGACTGACTTTGTTATATCATTCACAGTTGGCAGGCTCTAAAGTGGTCTTGTAGCACGGTTTTCTTGTCATGATTCTCTAATTGGTGGAGATGTGAATCAAGAATAATGTAGTGTTTCACCAGGAATTCCACGTTTATTTAAAATATATGTTGAAATAATATGCACTGACTGCTTCAACAAAAGCATATACCATGGATTAACAACCTCATAGCTCACAATAGGTCTGTCTTAAAAGTCTGGTGGTGTATGATCCTCAGTCGTTTAGTGTATGATGGTCAGTTTTTTCCTCTGTGACTATTACAAAGTCGGTAAGTGTATGATTCCCAGTTCTTTTAAAATCTGTTCTGATTTTAAAAGTCATTTAGTGTACTCCAGCCTTTATAGATAAAATGAATGGGATTTTTTTTAAAAACCTGGCTGTTGCACTCTGTTCTAAGTGTCTGTCTGTGTGAGTGTCTTTGTACTTGCAAAGGCTTTCCAGTAACGGTTAATGAGATAGCGATCCAATGTGCTGTACTGTAAACAATTGTAACTTAAACGTCCAATCATTGTCCAATAATTTATGAGCCTATAAGTTACATTGTGTCAGTCATCTTGATGTTTTTGTGTCTGCACTGTCTTGATGTTTGTGAGATGTTTTTTTAAGAGAGAGAGAGAGAGAGATCATTTTATCATTAATTTTCATAGTTACTCACAAAGTAATGCTAGAATAAAACTGGTAACAAATTGCATTTCC